TTTTTCTTGCTTAATTGCTATGGGAAGTGCTTCAAAACTATATTGAATAGTAGTGGAGAGAGTTGGAAAACTTGTCTTGTACCTGATCTTAAGGGGAAGGATTTCAGTTTTTCCCCATTGAGTATAGTATTTGCTGTAGATTTGTGGTAAGTGGCTTTGACAATGTTGAGGAAAGTTCTTTCAATTCTCACTTTATTGACAGTTTATTTTTATCATGAGTGGGTGTTAAACCTTGTCAAATACTTTCTCTTCATCTATTTATATAATTATATGATTTTGTTTTTTCTTGTTATGTATTATAGCACTGTAGCACTGTCCTCCTGTTGTTCATCTATTTGCTCGAGCAGACACTAGTAATGTCTCACAATAAATTGTGAGACTGGTTGTTACTGTTTTTTGGCATATCGAATATGTCATGGGTAGCTTGCCAGGCTTTGCCGTGAGGGCGAGATACTCTCAGTAGCTTGCTGGGATCTCTGAGAGGGGCGGAGGAATCGAACCCAGGTCAGTCACATGCAAGTAAAACACCCTACCCACTGGAGCGATAGCACAGTGATAGGGCATTTGCCTTGCGTGTGACCAGCCTGACCAAGCCAAATTTGATTCCTCCACCTCTCTCAGAGAGCCTGGCAAGCTACCAAGAGTATCTTGCCCACACGGCAAAGCCTGGCAAGCTCCCCGTGACATATTTGATATGCCAAACACAGTAACAACAAGTCTCACAATGGAGATGTTACTGGGCCCTCTCGAGCAAATCGATAAACAACGGGAGGACAGTGCTACATAATGTATTATATTGATATGGTGGTAATACTGATATGGTGCATTATATTGATATTGTGTAATACTGATATGGTGTACTCTTTTGATCGATTTGCATATGTTAAGCTATCCTTGCATACCTGGGATGTATTCTACTTGGTCATGGTATGTGATTTTCGGGGGATGTATGATTTTTAATGAGTTATTGTATCTGATTTGCTAGGACTTTGTTGACTATCTTTGCATCTATGTTCTTCAGGGGTATTAGTCTGTAATTCTCCCTTGTTGTACTGTCTGACTACTTTTGATGTCAAGGTAATGTTTGCTTCATAGAAACTGTTAGGGAGTGTTTCTGTTTCTTAGATTTACTCTAAGAGCCTGAAAAGGATTGCCAGTAAGTCTTCTTCAAAGGTTTGGAAAAACTCACTAGTGAATTTTTGGGCTTGGGCTTTTTGCTATTGGTAAGACCTTTGATTACTATTTCAATTTCTTCGGTAGTGATAGATGTGTTCAGGTATTCCATATCATCTTGGTTGAGCCTTAGGAGGCTAAAGGACCCCCAATAATGTATCCATTTCTTCTAGGTTCTCTCATTTCATGACATAAACAGTTTCAGAGTAATCTCTGGTGATCCTTTGAATTTCTATGATATCTATTGTGATGTCTCAACCCCCTTCATTTCATTTTCTAAATTTTATTTTTTTTAATTTTATTTTTATTAAAATTACCATTATTTACAAAGTTGGTCATTATACAGATGTTTCAAGAATTTAGTGTTCCAACACTACCCTTGTGACCTTCCTACCACTAATGTCCCCATTTTCCCTCCCATTCCCAACCAGTCCCCTTAGGCACATAAAAATATACTTTATATTAGTTATTCCAACAAAAAATTAAGAAATGATAAATAGAATGATCAGAAAATAAATCAATAAGAAATAATTTGTAATTGCTCTATGATTTTAACCTATGTAAATAAGGAAAATAAAACCGTTTAATACAATATAATGAAATGCTTATTCTCTTTTATATAAGTTTTGAGCTTTTGAATCTAAAGTATATTGCATTAATTTTTTTATATTTTGATTTCATTATGGTAGTAATAAAGTCTTACCAGTCATTAGTAAAACTCCTAAAGGAATTCTGTGCTAATATATTTTGGAGTTTACATGAAATGGTTAAGACCTGCTTATGTTAAATTTCCCACCTACACTTTATATAAACACTGTGATTTACAAACTTATTCATGATGAGCACAACGGGTAGGGCAATTGCCTTGCATGCAGCCAACATGGTCGACCCGAGTTCTATTCCTCTGCCCCTCTTGGCAAAGCCTGGCAAGCTAACCATGACATATTCAATATGCCAAACACAGTAGCAAGTCTCAAAATGTTACTGGGCCCGCTTGAGCAAATCGATGAACAACGGGAGGACAGGACAGGACATTCATGATGATATGTTATAGGCATTCAATATTCCAACATCAATCTCACTGCTATTCTCATCTTCCCTCCACCATTGTCTCTAATTTTCCCATCACCCCTCAAACCTGCCTCTATAGCAGGCCCACAATAATTTATTTTATGTTGCTTATTTTCAATAAGTTGCAAACAGAATGATCAAAAATATTTCCTTAGAAGAAAATTAGTGTAAATTGTTGTGTCACACTATAGAGACATTAAGTTCTTGACTGAGGGATTATTAAGATGTTACAGGTTAATCTTTCTGTATTATTGTTTGTTGCCTTCTATATTACATCCCATCCAATCTCATGAGTTACTGCTGGTTTATCAGTGTTGTAGCATTTGGAAATGTCTCATGAACGCAAATGTAGCCATGCACTCAGGAGGTCCAGAATTTTTAACTGGGTGGTACAGTTGGAGTTAAAATTTTAATGGGTGGTGGCTTTGAAGTGTGGATGTGACTGCTGGGGCTTCCAGAAGTACAGGGAGGTCGGGGAGGTAGCCCATCTCAACTTCTAGTAAGCCTGGAGATTTTAGTCAGAAAGACATGCATACCTGAATTTTCAGCAGGTTAATTTCTGGGTGAGGCTTGGTCCCAAGACAGTGGAGTCCTGCCACAGGCATGCCAGTGATTTTTCAGTGTGGGAGTGAGTGACTGCAGGAGATCTGTTTGGGTGGGCCAGCCCAGGGACCACCTCCCATTTAGTGCCCCATATTTCTTAGCCATAAGTGGTCAGTTGATCTCTTTCAAGATTTATTTATGAATCTCTGGAGCAAGGGTGGTAGATGAGCTTACATGGTGCCAGTTATGGTCCTCCCCTTTCATTTATGATTTGGTTAATGAGGGTATTCTCATTCTCTTTCTTTGTGAGTCTTGCTTGTGGTTTATCAATATTATATAATTTTCCAAATAACCAACTTTTGGTATCATTAGCCTTTTGGATTCTTTTAATTCCAATTCATGAATTTCTTCCCTAGGTTTTATTATTTTCTTCCTCCTTCTTGCTTCGGACTCCTTTGGTTGGTCATTTTCCAGTTTCTCAAGCTGTGCTGTTAGGTTATTTTGGACCCTGTCTTCCTTCCTTATGAGTGATTGCTTAGCTTTGAACTTTCCTCTTACCACGTTTTTTTTTTTTGCAATGTCCTTAAGTTCTGGTAGGTCATGTCTAAATTCTTATTTGTTTCCAGAAACCTTTTGATTTCCTCTCTGATTTCCTCTCTGACCCACTGGTTGGTACAGTAGTAAGCTGTTTAATTTACAGGTGTTTGAGTAGTTTCTCCGTTTCTGTTTGTGGTTAACTTCTATTTTCAGATCATTATGGTCTGAGAAGATAGTTGATATGATTTCTCTCTTCTTGACTTTATGGAGGTATGTCTTGTGGCCTATCATGTGGTCTGTTATGGAGAATGTCCTTTCTGCATTGGAGAAGAAAGTATATTCGCTTTTTGTGGATTAAAAGCCACATATATACATATACACTGAGCCCCTCTCTTCCATTTCTCCTTCCAGTCAACTATTTATTTTCTTGCTGAGTTTTAATCTAGTTGATCTATCAAGTGGTGATAGAGTGGTGTTGAAATCTCAAATTTTTACCATGCTAGCAATGTCTTCTTCAAGTCTGTCACTGTCACTGTCCTCCCATTGTTCATTGATTTGCTCGAGTGGGCCCAGTAACGTCTCCGTTTTGAGACTTGTTACTGTGTTTGGCATATCAAATATGTCACAGGGAGCTTGCCAGGTTTTGCCTTTGCCGTGCGGGCAAGATACTCTCGATAGCTTGCCAGGCTCTCTGAGTGCAGCAGAGGAATCAAACCCAGTTTGGCCAGGCTAGCTGTGCGCAAGGCAAACGCCCTACCACTGTTTTATCACTCCAGCCCAAGTCTGTCAAGTATTTTGTTTTAAGTATTTTGGTGGTTTCTTGTTAAGTGTGGGCTGGTGTGATAGCACAACGGGTAGGGTATTTGCCTTGCACGAGGCCGACCTGGCCAACCCAAGTTTGATTCCTCCGCCCCTCTCAGAGAGCCCGGCAAGCTACCGGGCACGGCAAAGCCTGGCAAGCTACTTATGACGTATTCAATATGCCAAACACAGTAACAACAAGTCTCACAATGGAGACATTACAGGGCCCGCTCAAGCAAATTGATGAACAACGTGAGGATAGTGCTAGTGCTAGTGTTTGTTAAGTGTGTATATATGTTTGGGAATGTGAGTTCTTTTTGATATAGTTATCCTTTAATCATTAAAAAATGGCCCTCTCTGTCTCATAACACTTTTTTAACTTTTTGGGTCACACCCAGCGATGCTCAGGAGTTATTCCTGGCTCTGCACTCAGGAATCACACTCCTGGCGGTGCTTGGGGGACCATATGGGATGCCGGGGATCGAACCCAGGTCAGCCGTATGCAAGGCAAACGCCCTACCCTCTGTGCTATCGCTCCGGCCCTGTCTCATAACACTTTTAATCCTGAAGTTGATGTTATCCGACAGCAATACGGACATGCCAGCCTTTTTGTAGAGATTGTTTGCTTGAAATATTGTCTTCTAACCTTTGACTTTGAGTCTGTTTGCATTTACTCTTCAAACGTATTTCTTGTCAGAAGCATAACTTTGGATTCAGTTTTTGAATCCATTCTGCCACTCTTTGTCTCTTAATTGGTGCATTTAAGGCATTACCATTGATATTATTGCCATGGTGTTTTGTGCCATTCTTCTTAAAAGTTTTGTGTGTTTATGAGATTTGTCTTACTTTTCAGTAGCCCTTTCATTTCTGTAGATATGCCTTCGAGTCTAAAGTCCTAAACTGTTGTTTATTTGTGAATTTGTTTATTGTTCTTTCAAATCTGAATTAAGAGTTTGCCTGGTTAAAATATTCTTGGTGAGGTGTTCATTTCATTGAGTTTTTAAACTATTTTCCACCATTGTCTTCGGACCTGGAGGGTCTTGTATGATAAATTTGCCATAAATATTTTTGATAAAACCTTTTTACACACAACACTCCTTTGTATGTAATTTCTTTTTTGATCTTGCTGCTTTAAGTATTCTATCTCTATTGCATTCATCATTCTGATTAGGATGGGGCTTGGAGTATTTTTTAATCACAGTGAGATACAGTTACAAATCTTTCATGATTTAATTTCAACCATACAGTGATTGAACACCAATCCCTCCACTAGTGTAAATTTTCCACCACCAATGTCCCCAGTATCCCTCCTACACTACCACCCCACCCCACCCGCTACCTCTATGGCAGATAAATTCCTTCTTACTCTCTTTCTACTTTGGGGCATTATGACTTGCAATACAAATGCTGAGAAGCCATCATGTTTGGTCCTTTGTCTATTTTCAGCACACATCTCCCATACTGAGCAATCCCTCCAACCATCATTGACTTAGTGGTCCCTTCTCTATCCGTACTGCCTACTCCCCCAGCACATGAGGCAGGCTTCCAAGTATGGAGCAATTCTCCTGGCCCTTTTCGCTAATGTCCTTGGGAGTTAGTCTCATATTATGGATTTTTATATTCCACAAATGAGTACAGTCATTCTGTCTGTCCCTCTCTTACTGAATCATTTCACTTAGCATGATATTCTGGGTCTTGGAGTATTTTTATTTTCATTTCTTTTAGTGGGTACCCACTAGCCTCTTGAATATGAGTGCTTGTGCCTTTCAGCTCTGGGAACTTCTCAGCAATGGTGTTTTTTGACTGCTGCTTCTTTATCACGGTTGTCTTCCTGTCCCTCCAGAACTCCAATGATTCTTATGTTCTTCCTCTTGAATTGATCCTAGACTTCTCTTGTTTGCTATTCATTTATTTTTACTTTTTCCATCTTCTGCTGTTCTTTGGAATTTTTCTACATTTAGTCTTGGAGATCACTGATTTTATCATCTCTGCTACTATTATACGAAGGCTACTGAGGCCTTCCAGTGAGTTTTATCATTTCACCTACCAAATTCTTTATTTCACTCGTTTCTGCTTATAGTTTTCTAATTTCTGCACTCATATCTTTTTGCATTTTATTGGCTGCCCGTTTCATTATTTATTTGAAATTTATTTCATTATTTATTCATTATAAATATCCTCATCATTTCCTTTCTAAAGTCCTTTTAAGAGAGGTTATATAACTGATTATGATTGGTTGACTCTTCAGGGCTACCATCTTCCATTATTAAGCGTGATGGTCTTCTGTGTTGCTTTCCCATTGTGCCTTTTGCTCCCTTGAGATGAGTTTTGTGTGTTATGTGGCAGAGTTAGAATGCTAGTGAATCCTCTCTGTGATATATGACAAAGTCCAGAAGTGCATGGTTGCATTAGCAGACGCTTCGGCCGAGGGCAAAATGCCATAGTTCTGAGTGCAGCTTCCTACCTGTGAATTCAAAGGGCTGGAGGTAGGGCCTTCTAGCCACTAGTGGGAGCCTTTTGTGGGCCTAGCTGGGCTGGCTATCATGATTGGGGGACCCTTACTCATGTGAAGGTAAAATGGCACAGTTTTCATTCTTTCTTCATTCTTCCTACCAGCTATCATCTTATGACCACACCTTTAAAAACATTCCTTGGGAATCTGCTGGCTTTCTTCCATAGCAACATCTCTTTTGCATCAAATGCCCAAAGTTAACTTAAACAACCAAAGAACAGTCAGCTGGAAACCTTTCTTTGGTCAATTCAAGATTGTCTTTCATGTTTTGATTTTCCTAGGTCACAGTTACCTGAAAACAGTGGCCAAAAGACTTGCTTGTTCTCCTCCTACCTTTTACTGATAGAATTCATTTCTTGTCAATCTTTCTGGTGGCAGACCGATCTGACAGAAAATTGATTTTTCTCGTTCTTGCCTTGGACCTCCATGAGGTCCACATCATCCAGTTTAGGATTCGTGGTTGTGGTTGCTCTCCTCCCTTCTTCATTTCTCTCCTGTTACTCAATCTCTTGTCGACGGATGACAGAGTCTGCAAAGGGGTGTTGATACTCATGCCTTTATGCTTTCAACCGTTTTCTCTTTCTCTGAGTTTAGAGTCAGCCCTGCTGACATAAATATTTGAGACTCATCTGTCCCGTCTTGACAGACTAGCCAGAGGTACTGAACCAAGACTTTAGGAACCCTTTGCCAAATTCTCATCAGAGTGCCTCAGACTGTCCCTTTGAGAAAAACCTCCTAGATTCCTGAGAGTTTATGAATTGGTTAAGGGGTGATTTCCACAGGTCTCCCAGTGAAAGATGCTGTTTCAGTCCCCTTCTATGTACTTCTTGAATCCACTGTTATCAGTGCTGCTGTTACTAACATATATGAGAGAAGAATAAGAAATTATTTTTGTGAATATAAAGACAGTAAATTTTGGAGAGAACATATCTATGTAAGTCTCAATCTGTAAATTAACATAGAGAGTTTAAAAGGTAAAGGTAAAGGCCCTCCCGTTGATCGTCGATTTGCTCGAGCGGGCCCAGTAACGTCTCCATTGGAGACTTTGTTGTTACTGTGTCTGGCATATCGAATACTCTCAGTAGCTTGCCGGGCTCTCCGAGAGGGGCGGAGGAATCGAACTCGGGTCGGCCATGTTGGCCGCTTGTAAAGCGAACGCCCTACCCGCTGTGCTAGAGAGTTTAGCATCAATGAAACTACCCATGTGATGGAACAAAGAGTTGGCAAACTGGACAGTTTTTGTCACATATAGCTTATATGTCTGTTGTTTAATGGTAAGTAGGAACGGACCTATAGAGAGCATGTTGATGAGGTCTGTGATGAAAAGGGGCAGAAATGCAGCTAATAAAGATTTGAAACAGGCTTGGATATGATAAAATAATAGATTTCAAGCCCGCAGTCTAATGCTTTTAATTCACAGAACAATATAGCACTATCAGATTTACTTTTACTTGTAATTCATTTTACTAACTTAGAATCTGAGATACATAAAATAGTAATAATTTATAGCCAGTAGTAATAAATACTGGGATGTGAGTTCAATGAATGTTGTCTCAATCTTGTGTAATTTGGGAGTGTATTTCAAGATTATTAGGTTACAAGTAAGTTATTCTTTCCATCCAAATCTGTGTGCATGATTTGGAGTATAGGTGTAACAAAAGTTCCAGCCTCCATCTGGTCTCTGGGCCTAGTGGCCACATATTTTATCTACCACAGATAGGGGCCATACCCAACAATACTCTGAATGCCACAAGACACTGGATCAGGGATTAAACTCCACCTCACATACACTAGGCACACACAATAACAGAGTAGACTTTAATATTCTCAGAATGATATATTAAAGGGTTGTTGATCTTTTGTTCTTCTTACAGGTGATAAGAAATCCTTCCAAATACTGTGACGGCCAAGTCTTCAAACATCAACTTTAACCACCAATATTTCTGCCATGTATCAATCCTTACCAACCAGGGCTAGAGTTTATGCAGATGTTAATGCAGAACGACCCAAAGAATACTGGGATTATGCATCCCATGTGGAAGTATGGGGAAATCTAGATGACTATAAACTGGGTAAAAAAATAGGCCATGGAAGCTCATGTGATGTATTTGAAGGTGTCAAAATTGCAACGAATGAAAAAGTTGCTATTAAAATACTCAAAGGAATTGCAGAGGTGAAAATTAAGCGAGAAATAACAGTTCTGGAGAATTTACGAGGAGGCCCCAACATCATAACTTTGCTAGCCACTGTAAAACGGCCTCAGTCAGAAACAACAGCCTTAGTTTTTGAATATGTAAACAATACCCATTACAAGAAATTATACCGTACCTTAACAGATTTTGAAATACGGTTTTACACCTATGAGCTTCTGAAGGCTTTAGATTACAGTCATAGCATGGGAATTATGCACCGAGATCTAAAACCCGAAAACATCATGATAGATCAAGAGAACAGAAAGCTATGGCTAATTGACTGGGGGTTGGCAGAATTTTATCATCCTGGCAAAGAATACAATACAAAAATTGCTTCCCGATGCTTCAAAGCTCCTGAGCTGCTGATTGAATATGACACTTACGATTATAGTATGGATATGTGGAGCCTAGGGTGTATCCTAGCAAGCCTGGTCTTTCAGAAAGAGCCATTTTTTTATGGTCGTGATAACAAAGATCAGTTGCTGAAGATAGTCAACATTATGGGAACAGAGCATTTTTTTGAGTTCATTGAAAACCAGAATATCTACTTAGATCCACGTCTCCGTGTATTCTTGGGCACGCATCTTCGTGTTCGATGGGAGCGCTTTGTCCACACTGACAACCAGCACCTTGTTAACCCACAAGCTTTTGATATTCTAGATAAGCTGTTACAATTTGACCCTCAATTAAGGCTTACTGCCAAAGAGGCCATGGAGCACCCCTATTTCAAAATTGTCGTGGGGCGCAAGGCTCTGCTATCCCAGGAATCTAGCAGTACATCTTCCACCAGTGATAGCAGTGCGCCAGGGACTTCTTCCACATCAGAGCCCCCACCCCCTACATCTAAGGCTGATCAAGTAGTGGCTGACACTCCCACAGTCCCCGAGAATCCTGGTCCGTCTTCAACAGATGCTCAGAAGTAATCACACCTGGTCTTCTGATGCTCAGGGAGAGGTAGGAAAGTTTGTGGTCTTCTTAATGTGGCCTAAGTCTGGTGACAGAGGGATGTAGCTGGTGGGGATGGAGGGAACTGGTTCAAACGAACTGTCTAAATTGTTTTGTACATGTGTGGTAGTTGGGCTGGAGCGATAGCACAGCGGGTAGGGTGTTTGCCTTGCACGCGGCTGACCCGGTTGACCTGAGTTCTATTCCTCCGCCCCTCTTGGAGAGCCTGACAAGCTACTGAGAATATCTCACCCGCACGGCAAAGCCTGGCAAGCTCCCTATGATGTATTCTATATGCCAAACACAGTAACAAGTCTCACAATGTTACTGGGCCCGCTCAAGGAAATTGATGAACAATGGGAGGACAGTGACAGTGACAGTGATGTATGGTAGTTAATTTATAAAGCTAACAAGCTAATCAAATGATTTTTCTTCCCTTCATCTCCAGGTTCTTTGATATCTGCAGCAACATTGATTCGTCTATTAAAAAAATTCAGCTCAGTGGGATTTGTGTTGACATTGCATGACTGAATTATTGTTCTGAGTAACTGTGTAAACCACAGTGCCTTAATAAAGAATAAAATTTTGGAGGTCTTGAATCATTTGTAATTAAATGTGTTATGTGCTTGGAGTCATCACTGTATTTGTTTCCACTATGGTGGCTTAAAGAAAGGAATAAATCAAGGACTGGAAGTAAGAGATAGAATATTGCTATATCTGGACTCCAGCGGATCATCTCAGAGTGCCACATCTGAACATTTAATGTAAAGAGGTGGAGGGTGGACTCCATTTGCTTTTTCAAAAGCATATTTATTTGAGTGAGAGAAAAAACCCACATCTTGTCATATAATCACTTAATTTTTAAGTGATTTTTTAATTGTTTGATTAATTTTTCTTCCTAAGAAAACTTTTTTTTACTAATACCGTTGGATAAAATACATTTACCAGAAAAACCCAAAGATCTATGTCTTTGATCCACTTTGAATTACTTATTGTGTATGGTGTAAGATACAGATCCAGTTCCTTTGTTTTACAAGTGATTATTCAGTTAGGAAAGGGAATTTCACATACAATTGGATCTTGGAGGACTATACAAGTTCCTTGGTATCCAGTCTGAAATCTAGAACCCAGGAAGTTTGTAGGTGTTTTTCAGTCTCAATCTAAAGGAATAAGAAGCAGCGAAGTCAGTGATTTACATTCCAGTCTGAGGACAGAAGAAGGTGGATTAAATTTTCAAGGCCAATACGATGGGAGAAAGGGCGGGAACACAATTTTTTCTCTGACTGTTATTCTATTTGGGCTTCATTGGATTGAAGATTGCCCACCAATAGGATTATTGGATTATTGAATTATTCCATTCAATATCCTTTTTTTTCTTTTAAATATTATAATTTTTCAGATTTATCATCATCCTGTTATTCGTCGATTGCCTCGAGCAGGCCCCAGTAACGTCTCTTTCATCCTAGCCCTGAGATTATATTCAAGGCTATTTAGGAGAATGAGACCCATCATTGTTACTGGTATTTGGCATATTTGGTACGCCACGGGGAGTTTGCCAGACTCTGCCCTGTGGGCAGGCTACATTCGATAGCCTGCAAGTTTGTCCAAAGTAGGAATAAGACAATAAGATGTCATAAAAAAAAGTTCTGTTAAGATGTCGCGCGGCCGCAAATGCGGCCGCGCGGTTCCGGGATCTGGATTTTATAGTCTCTGAGTCTTGGCCGCTGATGGGATTACACGGCGCCAGGGGGCCAGGTGGTGGGTGTGACCCCTGCCTACTGGAATTTGGAGGATCTGGGTGGAAGATGCTCGACTCCAATTCGAGTAGGCTTGGAGGTCTCGGCCCCGGAACCCGCGTGGCTTTGTCCCTCTGCCAGTACCTTCATGTGTGCGGAGAGTGGTCTCAGCATGGTGGTGAGTATATTATAATTTTTCAGATTTATAAACTATAATAATGTAATTCAATTTTAAATCATAGGATGACTGTTTTTAATTTTATTTTTATAAAATTGTTCAAAATAATTTATTACATTCAGTATATCAACACCAGTTCCACCACCATTATATCTTCCCGCCACCATTATTCTAAATTTTCCCACCACTAGCCAAGCCTGCCCCAAAGGCAGATAGATGCTAAATAATTTATTTTGTATTGCTTACTATTAATAATCCTCTAAAATGATTCAAAAATGTTTCTTTAGAGGAAACTGTGTGAAAATTGTTTTATCTCACCTTGGAACTGTTAAGGCCCCGTATAAGAAATCATTAACATGGTGTTACAGGTTGTACCTTGTGTGTTAATATATACATATCTCACCCACACGGCAAAGCCTGGCAAGCTACCCGTGACATATTTGATATGCCAAACACAGTAAAATGTTTCAATGGAGACGTTACTGGCTCCACTCGAGCAAATCAATGAACAACGGGAGCACAGTGACAGTGACATATATATATATATATATATATATATATATATATATATATATATATTTTAAGATTGGTTCCCTTCTACTTTGTACCCCATCAAATGTTTTTTGCTACTCTTGGTATATCAGTGGCATAAAGTATGAGATGTCGTTCCAGGAATTCTAAACATTTAAATAGGAATTCTATCACCATTTAAATGATAGAGCCAGAGTTAAATTTTTAACTGGATGGTGGGTTGGGGATCCAGAGGCATCTCTGCAGCGTGTCATTCTCTTCCAAAATTCATTTGTGAGTTTCTGGATTATGGTCATTAATAAACTTATATGGTGGCCAGAGGCAGTTTGTGGGCATGACTGCCAGACTCCCAGAAGCACAGGGAGATGGGGGTGTGTGGGAGGGCACCCCCATTCCCAATTCCATGCAAGTCTGGAGGTTTCAGTCACAAAACCTGCATACCTGGATTTTTCAACCTATTCAGTCTCATGTTTGAGGGGCTTGTCCTGAGCTTTTGAAGATCGGCAGTGAGCATATCAGTGATTGGGTTCTGGAGTTCGAGGCTATGGGATTCGGTTGGGGCAGGCAAAGGGACACTTCCACCCCCTTCTGATGAAGTCAGCCGGGTGCGGGGTGAGTTGAGGGCAATATCCTTTTAATAAAGCCACCATTTTAAATGTCAGTTTAGCACAAAAAAAAACCTTTGCAGATGTTTCCATTGTTTCCCCAGAAACATTGTGTAATCTTGTGCACCCCAGAGCCAGTTGAATTGACTCACAAATTATCCATTATAGTGGGTAAGTTTGATGTTACAACTATTGTGTAACTCTGTTTATACTATATACAATCTTTCTGGAGGTCAGGAGAGTTCTGTTGTTATTCTTCTCCCCCAGGCACTGTTGACTGTGAATGCACAAGCCAACAAACATCAGCCACCAACCTTAGTAGATAAAGGAGAGTTAATGTTGAAGAAGCTGTTTGAATTGATCAACTGGAAAACCACTCTATAAAGATGCCATTCTATAAAGAAATGGGCCTGCAGATTGAACTTGAAATCATGATGCGTAGCTCAACTGTGAAGGTCCCTTTCCTTTCTCCCTATAACAATGCTAGAAACTTTGAGAGGGGGAGCTAGAAACTTTTTGTGTTTGGGGGCCACACCCACTAGTGCTCAAGGGTTACTCCTGGCTCTGCACTCAGGAATCACTCTTGGCTGGCTTGGGGGATCCATATGGGGTGCTGGGGATCGAATCTGGGTTGGCTCCTTGCAAGGCAAGTGCCCTACCCACTGTTCTACCGGTTCTGGCCCCAGAGCTAGGAACCTGAAATCACAAAAAAAGTATGAGAAGATACTTGTGCCTGGGTTTTAAAGGGTGACTGAGATTTCCACAAGTAGAAAGGGAGAAAAACAAGAGTCATTTAAAGATTGATTTAAAATAAAACAACCCTGGAGTCTAACTGTGGGTCTGTGGTGACCAGAGAGGATGGCAATTGGGAGAAAAGGGTAGAAGGTTTTCAGTGGATTGTGATGGAGAGATAGTGGGACTTAGGCAGTGGGATTGATGTGCTAATAGACAAATAGGTGTGAATTGTACTCATAAAACCAGGTACATGATGTAAACCAGTGTCACCTCAATAAAAAATAAGACAATTGGAAAACATACTAACATGCACATTACTTAAAACTGTTTATCTTATTAGCATAAATGTGATGCAAACATTTACTACTGTTTAACTACTACTAACATATAACTACTACTTTTTAATATTTAATATTCTTAAACTTCTCTCATCAAAAATTTCAAATTTTTGCCGTTGTTTTATTTTAACCAATATCCAATTTTTAAGTTTTTGTTGAGATTATGAAGAACAATTTAATTAACATATTCTTACATCATTTTAGTCTAATTAGTATATTCTTACATAATTTCAGTCTATGAACACAGTCATGAATTTGATTAGCTTACATGTGACCTGATCTTAGCTTTTTCCTCTCACTGCTAAATATTATTTTATTCTGTCCTATTTATAGAAGACCAAAAATAATTTTCTTCTGATGTGGCCTATGATTTGATTCTTTTTTGCATCCTCAATTTATTGACTAGGAAACAGAAAGCTGTATGAACAAATAGTAGTACTGATAACTGTGATTTACTACAACTAGCATATTTCAAACTTGCAGAATTTGACAATATGCATAGAGAATATTATGTAAGTGGTAAGTAATCACTTTTCCCAGTCTTTGGACGTGTTTTGAAAATTAGGTGAGAAAAAGGTGAACTGTGCCCATGACTAGGTAGGCACAGATGACCTTGGAGATAGAACCATGGTATTAGTATGCATCGTATGTGAGGTACTGGGAGAATGCTATCATGTGTCCTCAGCCAACACTGGTTAGATGACCATTCTTAGAAACAGAATAGCAAAGAAACTGAGAGATAGAGCAACATATTAAGACACTGGCCTTGCACTAAACTGACTGTGATTTGATCTCAAGCACCCCCAGGAGTGACTGCTGAGCACAGAGTCAGGAGTAAACCCTGAGCACAGTAGA